AGCTGTCTGGTGTCCGATCACAGCAGGATTTAAAAAAAGAAAAAAAAAGGAAGAAATAGGTAATATTCTTACAGCCCTGGGAAACCATATAAGTCCATAGGCCAATGCAAAATACAAATGTTAAAATATTCACCAAGAATAAAGCAGGCTTTTGTTTTCTTTATAAGAGGAGATGCACATTTTGATTGCCTGCTTGATTCACTCAGAGGCAGGCACCCCCTCCTGGGCTACTCTGCTCAGGAGTGTGGGCTCCCTCACCCCTCACCTGAGAACGGAGTCTAGAGCTGCCCTCTTCTGGTTGGCAGCGGTCTTGGGAGTTTGCCTGGGCTTGTGTTCTGTTGCATTGCAGGTGTGTGTAGTATTTCAAAGGGAGAGCTTATGGGAAGGAATGTCTGATAACAGGGAAATGACAGACCAGCCATGACATATTGACCCATCCTGGGCATGAGGTGCCCAGCAAAGGGCAGTTCTCAGTGTTGTCCTACAGGACAGTCATGGTATGTGAGAGTGTGAAAAGTCAGGAGTTCAAGCCAATGAGCAGCATGGCCTAGAGTAATGGGCAAATGGCCCACCAGGCAATCATCCTTTTATGTCATTTTGTCTTTTGGTTTTTTGAGACAGGGTTTCTCTGTGTAGCTCTGGCTTTCCTGAAACTCACTCTGTAGCCCAGCCTGGCCTCTAACTGGGATTAAAGGTGTGAGACATCATGCCTGTTAACCTACTGGCCACAGTTAACCTAGGCTTATGAATCAGAGCGTTGAAAAATCATAGAGAGTTTAAATTTTAATGCCCCTCTGTGTTTCTTTCTTTCTTTTTTCTTTTCTTTCTTTCTTTCTTTCTTTTTTTTGGTTTTTCCAGACAAGGTTTCTCTTTGTAGTTTGGTGCCTGTCCTGGATCTCACTCTGTAGATCAGGCTGGCCTTGAACTCACAGAGATCCACCTGGCTCTGCCTCCTGAGTGCTGGGATTAAAGGTGTGCGCCATCACCGCCCGGCTTCTGTGTTTCTTGCAATAGACATAATGATACTATGATCGAGTACATAGGGAAAATACCAAGGTCCTACTGCTATACAGAGAACAGCCAATGACATCACAAAAGACATAATGCCACTGACAACAAATAGATGTTCAAAATCCCGTCAACAGAATAAGAAAAGGTACAGCTTCTTTTCTGTAGGGTGATTTTATTTTTCTAAAGTTTTATGGTTAGCAAAAATGATCCTGGCAATTTGAAACAACAATTTGTTGTTTGTTTTTTTAACAAGGCCATAAGTACCCTAGGCTTGAAGCTCTGTACGTAGCTGAGGCTGACCTTAAACCCATGATCCTCCAGCCCCATCCTCTCAATTGCTGGGATTACAGTTCTGAGCCACTATTTTTACTTAACACTGTTACATTGAGCACTGGGATTTAACAGGAAATGGGGACTTTGAGATTACCACAGGCCAGATGGAGTAGACTTTCAGTGCCAGGTTGTATCCTGGAGCAAGCAGAAATGTGGGAGAAACTCTGGAGTAAAAGGGTATCCAGGCTGTTTTTATAAGGGAGCCAGGGAGTTGTGGAAGAGCCGGCCAGCCACAGGCAAAGACTGCAGGAAATGTTAGCCCCGTTTGCCATGGAGTGTGCCAGGTGGGCAAGAGCCACCAGGAAGAGAGACTCGGCAGGGACATGGTAAATTGGGAGGATGGAGGAGAGAGCCGTAAAAACCACCAATCAGTTCAGGGTTGGAAACGGAGAATGGTCAGGTGAAGGAGAGGTGGAACACACACAAACAAAGAAGGCAAATTTGCCTGTGAATCTGGGATTTAGAAAAACTCACTGTAATTACGTTGTTGCCAGGATCCCTGAATCACAGCATGTGCAATCTTTCCCGGGAGTGTGATCAATGCAGCTCACTCAGACAGGTCACTGCAGTAGCAGGGCATGAACTGGAGGTACATGAGGGGCAGCCTCCCTCACTCACTGAAAGCCGCAGGGAAGGGCTCAGGCGCCCTCACCCAGGGGGGATGATCACTCCATACACAGTAACCTAGGGTTTGTGTCCGATTTAAATCCTGCAATAGGCTGGATGTTTGAAAAAGGATGTTCCATAGGTGCACTGATGCCCATAGAATATTGAAGCGTGAAGCACCAAGCACATTGCCTTGTCACATTGTCTCTGTCAGAGCTCACTGGATGGTCCTGGAAGAGCTGAGCATTCCACTATGACTTGCCCCCATTCCATTCATGTTTGCAGATGTGGCCTTTCAAGAGGTATTTATGGTAGCATCAAGTCATTAGAATAGGCCCTAATTCACAATGGCTGTGTCCTTAAAAGAACTGAAGCCCGCTGAGGCAAGTGGATCTCTGGGAGTTCAAGGCCAGCCTGGTCTACAAAGGGAGTTCCAGGACAGTCAGGGCTACACAGAGAAACCCTGTTTTGAAAAACAACCAAAAGACAAAACAAAAGAAGTGGCGAAGAGGACACAGACAGACACACAGAGGGTGGGAGACCCTTTGAGGCAGAAGGCAAAAGGCCTCAGGAGCAACAATCTTGCTCACATCCTGACTTCCAGCCTCTAGATGACAAGAGTAGAAACATTTAAGCCACCAAGTCTGTGGCACTTTGTTGAGGTGGCCTTGGCAAACAAATACACACTGTACAAACTTTATTGAAGAAAAAAATTGATCTTAAGGAAATGTGTGTGTTGGACTAGTTTGTGGGAAGGGCTTGACCGCTACGCCATACTTGGGAATATGAGCAAGGCTAATGACTGCATGTGAGGAGGGGTGGGGTGGGGAGGATGGGTAGAGCGGTGGAGTAAGTAAGGTCTACACTGAAGAATCTGTGCAAGGCAAGGGGTTAACAGAGGCACTCTTTCACCTTTGTTGTATGTTTGATACTTTTCCATAATGAAGCATTTGGGGGTACTTACTGCTGAAATACACAAAACCCCAGCCCTGAGTTATGTTTTCTCTTATAAGATGGCATTCAGGAGAAAGTGTGTGCCAGGTAAAGGGAACAGTGAAGTAGAAGACTCAGTGGGAGGAACCAACCATGGGCCCACCTTTTTATGTTCATTTCCTGTGCGGCAAGACATTCCTTGCTCTCAAGATCTAGATAGGGTGAGCCTTATAAACTACAACATAAAAGGGCTGGGAAGCACCCCACAGTCCCTGCGAACAAGGTAGGCTTCAACCTGGTTCCTGTGTGGGGCTGAAGGACTCTGCTCTGTTCCCTTCCCAGCCCCTGCCCTTATTGCAATGTATACTGGGGTCACTGAGAGCTGAGGCTGAGACACATCTGTGAGGAGGTCTGAGGACCCTGGTCCTAAGCCTTGGGATTCCTGCCCAAGGCTATCACCTGAGGGCGCCAACTGTATAGGAATCAGGTGCTCCTATAGCTGCCTCACTTGGGTCTTCTGGGGTATTGCTTTCTTCCTTTCTTCCTTCCTTTCTTTTCTTCCTTCCTTTCTTTTCTTCTTTCTTTCTT